CAAACGCTAGGGTTGCTCCTCCACGCGTGTCACCAGCACAACAGCGGCCACTCATCTCCCTTCGCCAACGAACAAGGGTTTCTACTTCCCCCACGCCTTAGCATCGGGATGCCACCGCCATTCTCCGACGTTGCGACCACCGCGACTCCCTTCTTCTCCCTTCTTGCTCCCTGTTTATAATTGCCTGTGGCTCCTCTGTAATGTTCAATGTGTTGGGTCGTAGTGGAAGAGGGATAATATGGTTGGTTTCTGTTTCGTGATGACTTAAAAATAATTTTAAGGTGAATAATGAATAGAAACTAGTTTATTTATAATAGTTTTTTAGTATATAAAATTCATATCAAAATGATGTAATTACTTTTTATCAATTGATATTTTTTTAAAATGTTTATACAGGTTAATTGAATGATGAAAAATGAGTTGTTGAAGAAAATAAATGATGAAAAATAGGTTGTTGGAAGAGTTGAATGATGAAGAAGATTCTGTGGTCTGTTTTTTTCTACTTTGTTTTCTGCTGTTTTCAATGAATGAAGGTAGACCCGCATGGTTAAATGCATGCATTAAAGTTATTAATGCTGCAATAATATCGTAGTATTTATTAAAAAGAGTTTACACGTAAGAATATAGAGAGGAGAGATGCATGATGGCAGAGACAGAGGACAGTTACCTGTTTTTCCATGTGGTAGAATGAATTGCAGAGAATCCAATCAGCTTGGTGGATGTTGGAAAACTGAGCAACTAAGACATTAAGCAAAGTTGGATAAGTGTCATCTGTAGGGAAGAAGAAGGAGGGCATGTCGTGATGTTGAAGTTTGGGCAAGAAAGGAAGAGAAATCTGATCGTGTGTGATGGGAAGTTGCAGCTTCCCATGCTGGACATGGGCGTATATACTGTTAACAAACATGTTTTGAGTGAGAAAAGAAGCCCCTGCAATCTGAAATCTCTTTGCAACCTCCAGAGACCAAGGGAAGAGTGAATCATAAATAACACAGTGAACAGGGTCACCTGATCTGTGAAGTTTCTCAAGAAGCTCGGCCAGACTCTTTGGCCCCACTTGCCAGAAACGTTCAAAATAGGCTTTGAAGCCACCTGCTTCATCCAACCCTCCATTGTCAAACCCATCAGAAATGGTTTCAAGTGAAATACAAGTGGCTACGTTCTGCAACTTTTTGAAGAAGGAAAAGGCGGTGACTAAGGTCACTTTCACACCTTGTTGCTGCAAGAGCTTGGAGAAGTCATGCATGGGGTTAACGTGCCCTTGAGCTGGATATGCTAAGACCAAACAGTGCACCATAGTCGCCATGCTTTTCTTCTCCATTACTGTTATATACAACTTCTCTCTTCTTACATCTCAAGTGGACTCCAGAGGCCCTATTTATAATGAAAAATCATAAATCTATAAATGTTATACCTATTTTATATTTTATAGTACAATCACATATTTTTATGTTCATTTCACAATAATTACAAAAATTTAATTTTTATATTTTCTTTTAAAATAAAATAAAAAATAAGAAAAAATAATATTAAATGAATATAAAAATTTATTTTTATTTTCCACTCGACAAGAATTTTATGTAGGAATGCTTTCGTTAAATTAATATATTAATAATCCTTCACAATCATCACTATTCTTATTATAACATGAAAACAAATTATCACTATCATAGAGAAATATTGTATTTTAATTTTGTTTTGAAGATCACAACATTTTTGCTAAACCACATGCAATGTTTTTAGTTAAATTATATAGGCAATTTTACTGTGAGAGAAAATCTAAATAAGTAGTGTCATGTAATAATAAGTAAGCAATTTTGGTGGTGTATATATATATAGATATATATATATATATATATATAATATATATATATATATATATATATATATATATATATATATGAATAACGTGTGTTTACAATATTATAAATCACAACTAAAAAAAACTATATACAATTTATTTTTAAATTAAAATTACCAACAATAAAAATTGTCAATACATTTTATCTTTATAATAGAAAACATTATTAATAATTACCAATGATTAAAATATGTAAATAATTAATCCGATAAATATTCATAATAAATTCTATTTGATTAATGATAAAATAATTAGTCATCGCTAATTTAAGAATTTCTTGTGTAAATTATATGTAAACTCTGTGTTTGATAACTAATCTCCATTGCAAGATTTAAAAAATGTTAAAAAATGTTTAACTTAAAATGTTTAAAATAAAAAATTTAAAAAGTCTATTTGCATATATATGGTCAACTTTAAAAAAATATTTTTAACCAATTTTGATAAATAAGACTTGTACATGTTGAGTAGGACTATTTTGAAACCTAACAAAAATTTATATGCATTTTATATCTATTATTTTATCTTTCATTATTTTTCTTTCTTTATAAATAAAAAAATAAATTTTTTAAATGACTAAAATATCTCTAAAACTAGGTAATCAATGTCAAAATAATATTACCTGTTTACTTCTCTAAAAGATCCCAGTAGGATCCATTCATGCACCTCTTATTTCAAATATGTTTTTTGGAACCTATTAATTAACGTGTTAATACTCTTTGAAAAACTAAAAAATCAATTTATTTTTCAAAATATTGTTCTTAACATTTGATTCAAATTTAAACTGCTTATTATATTTAAATGTAATAATATATATTTAGAATTAATTCACTATAATAGCTTACATATATCTTTGCATATTATTTTAATGTTTAATTGTGTTGTAATTATATATGTGCATATTTCTCAATATATAATAAATTTTTATTTAAAAAAATATAAATATAATAATAATTATAAAAAAATCACGGCATATTTTTTAGTTGAAATATTTTATTTTAAAATATTTATTATTTTTATGATAATATTTAATAATTTTATATGATAACACAAACTGTTAAATTTGAACATATAAAGTATCATTTGAGTTTAATTCGAAATTTATATTGAATCAAAACTAAACTCACCATACATTTAAGTTTTTTTATGTTGAATTAAAATAATTTTTTAATAAAAATAAAATAAAACCACAAACTTTTCACATGCAAAGGACCTTATGACATGAATAAATTTATATATTCAAATTAAAATTATTTGATATATAAATCGAGTTCTAAGATTATTATTTAAAATAATTAAACTATTATCAAAATTAAAAATGAAAACTATATGCAAATTTTAAAATTTCAGGAAGTCAGTTGAAACAGCTATTAAATAATTTAAATGAGTAAGTCTTTTAGTTATTTAATTGCATTAAAAAAAACATTTATGCGTTTTTTTAAATCATAACAATTCATACAATTAAATTTGTAATATTTTTAAGTTTAACATTTCTACAAAATATTTATAATGATATAAAATGATAAAAATTCACGAATGTAAGTTTTATTATTTAATGTCAAGAACTTGTAGTTTAATAAAGTATTTGTTAGATTTTGATAAAGATTTTTAAAAGTTTAAACTCCTGATTATAATTATAATAAAAAAAATACTGTTTTTAATTTATGTATAGCAGTGATTGTTAAAAGAGACTGTTAATAAAACATTTTAAAAGTTTAGATTCCTGTTTGTAATAACTTAAAATTTAATTAAATATGTATTTTAATTTTGCTTGACAAGTAAACATAAACATGCAAAGTCCTCTAAAAGATTGATAAAAAAATTGTTGAATAATGATTAATTTTATGATGACCAATTTAAATATTAATTTATAAACTGAAAATTATTAATAACTAAAATAATTTTCCAAAAATTATAATTAATTTCTAAATTAGAAATTAAAATAATTGTTTTATCATGAATTGATATTTAAAATAATCACTAAAATTAGTAATTAAAGTTTTAATTATGAAAGTATTGTTCTCTAAATTAATCTCTAATTAAAAGATTGTTCTCAAAATATTTTTTAGTGAATGAAACTGAAATAGAAAGCTATAAAATGCACGGTGGAACATTGAATTATAATGCCTCCTCAATGCAAACATACAATTAATGAGAATGTTGAAAAGGTTGTGTATGGTAGCTAGGCATTTAATTGTTACTTTTATTCACATTTAAATTATTTTTCAATTTATTCTCATGTAAAAATATTGTATACTATGTTTTAATCATTGATTTATTATTTATTTGTTGGTGAAAAAATATTTTAAAGAAAAGAAATATATGTTTCTTTTTTGTTTTAAAATTCTTTTTAAGAACAAACTTTTAAACTTAATGACATTATATATATTATTGTGTAATATCCGTAGAAAATAAAAATAAAATATATTTTTATTTATCTATTTATTTATTATTCTAAGATAAATTAATTCGGTAGTGTATTTGTGTGATAAAAGTATTAAATTGGTAAATAAAAATTAATTATAATTATATTATTTTGTCTTTATGATCCATGAAATAAGAATTATATATGGTTGTTTGTATTTATATTTCACTGAAAGTGAGTTGGTTTAGTGGTGATGTTATGGTGTGAGGCTTAAATGTCGTGACATCAACTTGTGAGTGTTTTTCCTGTTTGGCCATTCTTTTTCTAAATTTTTCGTGTGGGACCCACTTAGTGGAAAGAGAGAAAATAAATGGCAAAGTGGATGTGGGAAAGGTTAGGTGTACGAGTGATACTCCCGACACTTCACCTCACCTCACATGTTACTTTCTGCATCTCTCATTTTACACATTTATCCTTGTAAAACGAAAATTAATGATTTTTTAACCACTAGTAACCCTTCTAACCTTAACAACCCTAAATGCTTTAAACCCTAAATATCATGTCTTGTCCTTCATGCACCCCTTCTGTTGTAATTTTTTTCACTCTCATTTTTTACTTCTTCACTATTATATTGTTTTCTAGATTTAGAGTTGTAGTGGTTGTGCCTGTGGATAGTAGTAGAGGAGGAAGAAAGCTGGTGGTACGGAGAAAAAATGCAACGAAACCTTTTAGGTTAGTGTATTATTGTTTGAAGTAAACACGTAAACCAGTTGGAGCTGCTATTATTCGTGACGCAGTTGGAACGCTGGTTACAGAGGCCCAAATTCGATTTTCGGCTCACCCCAACCACATTTTGAACTGCGGTCACTTCTAAGTGCGGTTTCACTGTGCGAGACTATTTTTTTAACTGGCTGCACACGCTTATCATTTCATGTTTATTAGTACATTAATCTTCTCTTTTTTTTTTGCCTGCACAAAGTCTTTATCGGGTTCAAATTGCGCAGGGTCTTAACTGTGTTTCGGAGCGTGGTTAAGGCCTCGACCGAACACAGTTGCCCTTGCTTGCGAGAGAAGAGATCACTCAGATGGTGAAGGAGACACAGAGAGGTGCAGTGAGAAAGGGATGGAGGAGAGAGCGAGAGATGGAGTAGCTAGAGATGGAATCAAAAGAGCTTCTGCACCTTACTAGAATTGAAATTGAAGGAGGAGGAGAACATTTTTTGGAGGGAAGGTGCAGAGAGTCGGGGTTTAGGGTTTGCTTTGAAAATTTTTTAATAATGAATCTTGCTTAAAATGATGAAAGAGAAAGATATTTTTTTTAAAGTGAAGGAGTGCATGGCTTATTTTCGGAAGAGAGAGAAATAATGGACATAAATAGTTAGTGAATGCTTTATTTTACACAAACTGAAAGTTACGAGGTAATAG